GTTACAAATTTTTTTCCACCCTCTACGAATTTTTTAATGTTTTTACTAATGTAGGGTGGATTAACCCCTTCAACTCTAAATATTTGCAAAGCTATACGTTCATACCACTTTATACATATATTAGTATCTAATATTAATTTAAGTATGAACTTGTTACAATTTTTTTTCCACCCTCTACGAATTTTTTAAGGTTTTTACTAATGTAGGGTGGATTAACCCCTTAAACTCTAAATATTTGCAAAGCTATACGTTCATAGCACTTCTTATATTAGTATCTAATATTAATTTAAGTATGAACTTGTTACAAATTTTTTTCCACCCTCTACGAATTTTTTTGTTTTTACTAGTGTAGGGTAGATTAACCCCTTAAACTCTAAATATTTGCAAAGCTATACGTTCATAGCACTTCTTATATTAGTATCTAATATTAATTTAAGTATGAACTTGTTACAAATTTTTTTCCGCCCTCTACGAATTTTTTAATGTTTTTACTAATGTAGGGTGGATTAACCCCTTAAACTCTAAATATTTGCAAAGCTATACGTTCATAGCACTTCTTATATTAGTATCTAATGTTAATTTAAGTATGAACTTGTTACAAATTTTTTTCCACCCTCTACGAATTTTTTAATGTTTTTACTAATGTAGGGTGGATTAACCCCTTCAACTCTAAATATTTGCAAAGCTATACGTTCATACCACTTTATATATTAGTATCTAATATTAATTTAAGTATGAACTTGTTACAATTTTTTTTCCACCCTCTACGAATTTTTTAAGGTTTTTCTAATGTAGGGTGGATTAACCCCTTAAACTCTAAATATTTGCAAAGCTATACGTTCATAGCACTTCTTATATTAGTATCTAATATTAATTTAAGTATGAACTTGTTACAAATTTTTTCCACCCTCTACGAATTTTTTAATGTTTTTACTAGTGTAGGGTAGATTAACCCCTTAAACTCTAAATATTTGCAAAGCTATACGTTCATAGCACTTCTTATATTAGTATCTAATGTTAATTTAAGTATAAACTTGTTACAAATTTTTTTCTACCCTCTAAGAATTTTTTAATGTTTTGTTTTTAGTGTAGGGTAGATTATACCTTTATATTTTAAATATTTGCAAAGTTATATCTTTGACAATTGGGTACTAACCCTTTAACCCTATTTTTTTTAGTAATAAATTATAATTTCGAAGTATTTATATGGTCCACTGTAAAAATTCGTTTCTCATTTCTGAAGCTGATGCTAACTTCAACGACGTTCCCTAATTCATACCAATAAGTTCCAAGTTTTATATTCCAAATAATTAAGAAAGATTTCAATAATTCATAGTAAATCAAGTTACTATTTTAATTAAAAGTGTGTTCGTACTTTATAGGTACACTTTGAGGAATCTCAATTCGAACTGGGTAGAGCTGATGGTTGGAGGAAATTAAAACCGAATGCAATACCGACATTATTTAATGTACCGAACCCACCTGCGTTACTTAGCACTACTAGACGACGTTTAAAAAGGATAACAGACAGTGACATTAATAATGTAAGTACTGCATTTATAGTTTTGCTTGCATTGCATGCGTTTATTGGTACGTGATGATTAAATACCTAAGCAATGCATGTGTAATTAGTTCATTAAAATACTAATACATAGGTACATGTGCCTTTATGTTCATAAATCAAAAAGCGCTTTCTTCTTACTAGAATATTAATTCGATTTATTTATAGATTGGTACTGCAAATAAGCAAGTTTGTATACCGACTCTTCAAAATGATCCTGATTTAGAAGACCATTTCAATTTTGACCCTATGAAAGTAATTGCAGATCAAAAAGTCAAAATTTCCCACTTGGAAACTGAAATTCAGCAGCTCCGGGAAGAATTATCAACAACCAAAAGAAAGTTGGAATCATTTTTGTCGAATGAACAGATCGTTAGCCTAACTCAAAACTCCAAATCGTGGTCAGATGAATCGATAGTAGTTGGTTTTAAATTTAGATTTGCACTAGGTGTACATGGATACAAATTTTTAAGAGCGACAAATTATCCTCTCCCATCATACAGTAGGTACACTAAATAGAAGAGCTCAAGATTTGCAAATTAACTTTGGAATTTTCAATAATTTACTTGCACCGTTAGAGCATAAAGTTGCGAGTTTAAATGAATTTGAGAAAGACTGTATAATTATGATCGATGAAATGCAAATCTCTGGGGTTTTAGATTACGACAAAAACAAGAAAAAAATTGTTGGGGCCATAACGCTCGGTCATTCAGAACGAGAAGCCAACCACATTACTTGTGTACTTATTCGTGGAGTGACAACTCACTGGAAACAAGTAATTGCTTGTGAAATTACTGGACCATCAACGAATGGAGTCGATATGAAATCTCTTTTGTTAAATGTTGTAGATTCGGTAACAAAAATTGGATTGAATGTCCTTGCCGTTACAACAGATATGGGTTCAAACAATAAAGCGATGTGGTCTGCTTTAGGAGTTGGAGTAAGTCATGGAAATAGGCAAACATCATTTACATATATTGATAAGAAGATTGTTGTTTTACCAGATGTATGTCACCTTCTGAAGAACTTGAAATCCGCCCTTTTAAACACTGGGCTAATATTACCGGATACTATTGTAAAAGAAGAAGGTTTACCCACAAACATGGTTCATGGGGATTATGTTAAGAATTTATTTAAAATGGAAAATGATAGTGCTCTTCGGTCCTTATTCCATTTAAAACATATGGACATTAATCCAGACCACCATGCAAAAATGAATGTTGGTAGTTCTGTTCGATTCTTTTCAATTCAAACAGCCGCAGCTTTAGAAAATGCAGTCAAGCTTGGATTTATTTCAAAGGATGCTTTAAGTACAGCATTTTTTATTAGAATGATGTGGAGATGGTTCGAAATATGTGCATCGAAATGTTCAACAAAATCCATTACCAAAAGGAATAAAAAAAAATGAAAAATTTCGTTTTCTCCAATATATTATAAACATGTTTGAAAATACTGTTATTGGAAAAGGATGGAAACCTCTTAATACGGGTATCATTATGGCTACCACAGGACTTCTTCAGATTTCAAATGAATGTCTTCAAAGAGGATATAACTTTGTGTTACTGCACCGTTTTACACAAGATGCGTTAGAAAATGTTTTCTCCCAAATCAGACGGAAAACTAGTCAACCCCCAGTGCTCTTGAGTGCATACGAGCTTTGAAATCCATTACGATTTTACAATTTATTTCTGATATAAAAATGTCATGTACACTAAGTGATAATTGTAACGCTTATGCTATTTACGGCTAATTGTGATAATAAATGCAATAGTTTTAGGAAGCATGTTTATTGCGTGACTTCATACGGGTGAGTGGCGATGCCGCCGTATATACAAATGCGACGTTGTCATAGGTTGCTTACAATATGCAACCAAACATACACGTATATTACATCCCCTTTTCTTTGCATAAGGCTTAATGTGTGTCAAACATTCAAATTAAATTTCTACAATGACATGACATGTAACGCAAGTTAAGTTTACATTTACAAATACTAAATAATGTAAAACACAGTAACAAGAAGTACAATAAAACAAATGCAGTGTTAATAGCACTTATAAGCACAGAATAAGACCTTCACAGAACAGAAACATAAATGGCGCTAAATTGTCACTGATTACAGCGTTTCCCGTGGTTGTACGGAGAACTATTTATCGCAGACTCGAATATTTTTTTGCAAAACCTGTAATTTTGCTCGTTACAGGAAATATTTTTACCATCGATTTTATACGTACACAAGGTTTTACGCATGTCAATTTTGACTTTTGAAAGATTTAAAATATGAACAAGTTATGTGACCGTAGAAAGTGTTGTGTGGCGGATTGTAACGATAAAATATCAAAAAGGCATCGTTTCCCATATTTTGAAACAGATTGTTTTGTGCTTGAAACACGAAGAGGGTTGAAATGTGCTGTTATTTCTCTCCTATTTATGCAAGGTATGGAATTTCTAAATTACCAACGGTAACGGTATAGGCGCAAAAAGGTGTAGACTTGAGTTTTATATTTATATAGACGTAGATACTTGTAATTCGTTTTAGATAATTAAACAATTTCCACCCTCGCTTCTTAAGTAACAAGTACCCAGTCAACATTGTAACGTAACCGATTCATAAATATAATAGTTAACTAGGTGCTTCGTTATGTATCTAGTAACTTAAATGTTACATGCAAGTAACACAAAACGCCTAGCACTGTTATGTAACGGTGTAACGTAACGAATACGTCACGCTATGTAACATACATGTAACTATATGTTACATGAACGTAATAAGTAACACAACGGAATGTTACAACAAATAACCCAGTTATGTATTGTATATACAAACATACATTACATTAGAGTAATATGTAATGTAACTGAAGGTTTAAGCAAATATGTAACATATATGTAACATGACGTTGCATGGGGGTTGTATGTAACGCAACTGAAGGTTACAGTAAATATGGTAGTTACATAACAAATATGTATATGTTAGTATACATGAGAGTAATATGTAACGCAAACGAAGGTTACAGTAATGTAAAAATAACTAAATGCAGCAGTGAAAAATAAAGATATATTCTTATAAAATAAAACAAAATAACGATTCATAAAAACGTCAAATATTATCACAATAGCATTTCAAATATTCATTAATAAAATTATTGATTTTGGAGAGGTTTTTCCCTTGATTGTCTCAGCTTGCTTAAGCGTAACCACTCCCCCACCGCCAATTCAATGGCACTTTCGCTTGTATCAGGGAAAGTTTGCCGAACGGCATCTGGAAAAAAGAAAGTTCTATAAGACAAACTGCGTTCCCACCAAAACAGATTTCATTATGTAAAATGCTTACTTAATATATTATTCATCAATTCTAAATGCTTAAATGGAAAGTGATTTCTTTTCCCCAGAAGGGAACAGCTAATCCCCAAACTGTTAGTTATCAGTTTGCCCATAATACGGGACACCATTTCCTTAAAACCTCTGCCTCCTATAGATTTCACATAACTGACCTGAAATAGGTATATACAAAGTTCAAATAAGTTTACATGATATAAAAACAAATAATCGTAGTGGAACTTGGTATAGTGTCATGGTAAACGGAATTAATATTCAACAAAAGGATAACAATCAAACGTATTTAGTATGCATGTACACAGTGTAATAATACTATACTTGCTTGATAGAAAAAACGGATTCAGTTTTCAATTTAATTTCACACTTGAATCCCTTTACTTCAAGCATAGTTTCACTAAACTTAACATGCAGAAATTTATACTTTCCATGAAATAAATACTTACAAAACACTTTTTGAGATCATCATCTTTTTTTAAAATGTCGTCTAACTCAACCAACTCGTCCGTGGTTTGCATCGGGAATTTTTCTTGGATGTCTTTTAAACTTGCGGACAGATGTTTTTCAACAACATTGGATTTTTCCATTTTTCCTTCAATTTCTTTGACGTACATAAATATTTTTTTGTTAATTTTAATGAGATAGTCAACTTTGTCTGAAACAAAAGCAGTAGTTATTTACATAAGTAATGGCCGTTTGCATCGACAAATTTAAGCGGTGCTTAACTTAAGCATAGGATAGCTTAAAATCCATGGCAACGATTATTGAGACAATGGTTGCCATGGATTTTAAGCGATGCTTAAGCTAAGCACCGCTTAAATTTGTTGGTGCAAACGGCCATTAGGGAACCATAATTAATTCATTACTGCAGAACACTTCTGAATTATGGAGCCCTTTGGTCTGAGGAATTCAGTAACTTCAAATCCATTTTAAACATGTATTAATTTCTTTATGAAAGCATTGGTTTGTCCACCAAACAGAAAATTTAATTTAATCATTACAAATAATTTTAGACAGATGTTATATATCACTAAATTACACTTATGACTTAAGACCCAGTTTACTCATCCTCTGTTAAACTTATTGGACGCATAATTGCCGCAGAAACACATTCTTTATAATCGCAAGTTACTAATCCAATAAATTTAACAACAGAGATTGAATAAACTAAACGTTTAAAGAATTAATATCACTTTACCTGTCAAATCTTTTATGTCACGCCCCATGTCATAGGAAGTAAGGGTTCTATCCTCGGTTCTATCAGGAGTTGATTGTTGATTGTCTTACATATGAAAAATAAAATATACGAATAAATGAAATTTTTGGAATACATTACCTAGAAAATTAGTATCACTGTCTTGTACGTTTTCCTCGACGTTTTCTAATAAAGTACGATTACAATAAGATACGCTTTCTAAAAAAAGAAAGGTATTTAATGTATTAAAACTTCAATATATTACCTGAATTTCTACAGTCTGAGTTTGCTATTGCAGTAATTTCACTGTGATCCACCATTAAGGAAGGCGGAGGAGAATTTTCTAAAAAAAATAATAATTTCAAATTATCAGTATCACCACCGATAGGTTTCTTAAAATATTAAGAATTACCTTTGCCACTGTAACTGTCCTCAGAATCAGATATTACTCTAAGCGCCTTTTTTTTACGTCGAAGTCCCCTTCCTTTTTCATCCTCTGCTGAAGTATAATCGGCATCTGTAGCCCGTTTTCGTGCTGCATCTAAAGTGTCTGAAACAAATATATTAATAGTAAGATTTCATAGTTCTCAGATATGCTTACCATAGTAACCCTGTACTTGCACACGAAATAATTTCCAGGTAATAGGGTTATTTTTATCTGGAGTAACTCCTTTTGATATTAAGGAAGACACATTCTTCGTATTGGGCCACCAGCAGGACGTTTTTGATGGTGATATCCATGATGTCGGTACTTCAGAACAGGTTTGGTCTTCTTCAAACAATACTACTGCATACGTAGCATGATCCATGTTTTTGAGCAACTGAACTACCTAATTATTACATAGAATTTGAAAATTTGTAAAATAATTGACAATTTGGTGGCATATCTCATAATGTGCCCCCCCCTCCCCCCCCCCATTGGCAAATATAGTATTAAGCTTAAGTATATAAGCGATTGACAATAATAATTTAAAACTAATAATGGTGGGTGATAAGTAATAATTTTAAGAACTAAGGGTGCCTTTTCATTTTTAGATATACCTATGGAGATTTTGGGTTTGCTGCTATTCGATGCTACATGTCACGTGCCAGCTTCACCTCATTCTGTGGGATTCCGTTGTCGGATCCACAAATGTTGGATGAAGCATTTTCTTAGATGTTTTAAATTACGAATTTGTGAGGTCAAGTATTTTGCACCAGAAAATAACAATCAAAGTGGTCACATAGAAAAATCCCAAAAAGAACAAAAAATTTCCAAATATTTAGTACAACTGAAAACACCACCTCCAAATCTCCTATAAGTACATGCTCAAAAGAGGAAACATAGGTTAAATATCAACTACTGAATTGCACATGTAAAAAATGTTCTCATTACGATCATAGAATTAATGGAATCACCAACGTCTCCTCTTCAGTTAAGTCCACTGGCACCAATTTTCTTTTGATTTCACTAGCTGCATGTGTACATGTCTTATTAATATTTCTAGATATAATATATATATCAAATTCACTGGAATTACACGGCGAGTTAAAATAGTCCCTTTTAGAGGTGTAAACTTTTCCAATAACAAATACTTCTTTTTTTCTCACACTAATTTCTTCAACTGCAAGTATTTCTCCACCATTTAGCATGCAAAGGTTATTGAATTTTGATAAGGTAATCCAAAAATTATCAAATACTATTGCAAAGGGTAGACTTTTTTTAAATTTTATATACGGATATTTTACGCTGTGTGTTATTTTAATGGGCAATGAGTGTTCTTCTTTAATTCTGTTAACAATTTGAGACAGGGGTCGAGATGTATTCTTTAACTGAAGTTTTAACTTGAACATATGGTTTTCAAATTTGAACGCACTAAACATATCCAACTGACCAAATGTTTTGACATCATTACATAAATGGATTAAATTATGAACATTATAAGATATATGTTGAAGACCATAATAAGTACCAAATTTTTGTACAAAGTAGTATAAAAGCTTTTCGCTGTAACTAAAATATTTCTTTATGTATTCTTTGTCTGATAAAATTCTAATACTAATACTTAAACAAAGGAAGTGGTCAAATAGTCTTCTATCAACTATCCCTTTTAAAATATATAAGCCAGAATATAAAAGAAACTGCCTAAATTCAGTGGCTTTCCATCGATCAAACTCTAAAATTGATCTTGGAGACCGAGAAAACTCCATAGGGAATTTATTTTGTAATGCAAGGGAGTTTTGTACAACATTAGGAAACTGACTTCTTTTTACTCTTACGTCCATTTTCCCTCTCATCCAAAACGTAAGTAATTTTTTTGTAACTCCTAAACAAACAAGGTGCATGTAGTCTAGTGGAAATTGTTTTACCATGTTTATGTTAAGGTTTTCAAGAATAGAAGATATGTGGTGATGCTCTGGATGGAATCTATTTCTAAAAGATAAATTTGTTCGAAGGGTACTATTTAGTTCTGGATAAACAACACGATTTTCGATATACTCTCCCTCTTGAATACACTTTCCACATCCAAAATATGCGGTATGACTTTTAACACCCAATATATAAGCTTTAGCTGGTGCGTCACAAATGAAGGCACTAATAATAACGTCAATTTTTTTACCCAAATATATGATGCCATCTTCGGAAAGTTGTTTTAACTCTTTTACAAAATCTGCTAAAAAAATATTTACATCATCGGGTTTCCGTGAACCATGAAAAATTTGCACAACAAAAGGTTCAGTGTAAATCGTTTCATTGACAATCGAACCCATAATAGGCCAAAACTGACTGCTTGAAGATTTATGCAGAGGTAGTCCATCCACATTAAAGTTTAATTTTATTTGATTGGGTATTTCCCTATAATATTTCTTAATTGCCCGAATAATATTATCATACAATCCAAAATACATGGATTGTCCACCGTTACCTAGGTCTAATTTTGATTGGGTTCTAATGGGAGTTTTCATTAATGTTCTCGAGTCTAAAGGTAATTCTTTATGTCCATTTTTATGTAAAATGCTTAAAAGTTCACTAAGAGCCAATCTTTGAATATTAAATTTGATAGTCCACATTCTTAATGAATCTGAAAGCGATTCTGACTTTATCTCGTCATCTATTAATGATTGCATTTCAATGTCTACACTTTCATCACGGTGAGATAAATCCTCAGATAAATCAGAAAAACTGGAAGCTCGACTAGAACTAAATGACTCGTCGTGTGTAAGAGGATCATGGCTTACAGTGGTGATATCGGGACTTGACGATTTTTCAACATTAATTGAAGCACATTCATCGGTAGTTTCTCGCAAAAGAACATTGTCAGTTACGATGAGATGGTTGCCTTTATTCTCGCCTTTATTAGAAATGTCAGGTTCTGAAGATGACAAGTTGCCAATTTCTAAATCAATGATTCGCCTTTTTTGGCGGTATGATAGCTCACAGAAATTTTTATGCTTACGATCACATGACATAATGCGTAAACTTGTAATTTACGTACTTTATAAGTAGGTAAGTCACAAAAAAGGTGGAATATAAATTTATACTTACTTAAACACAGAACGAACACCGACTTATTTCAACGCGTCAAAAAGAATTTGAGGTTATGTGTCCCGCCTCCCGCGGCCGTTGACCTTTACTTTTGACTTATATGCGTAGGAGCGACTTTTTCAAATATCTTCACCTAACTGAAATAATATGAATTAATTGTATTAGAAAATAACGGTTTAAAATAAGTTTTTACCTCTACCCACAAAAAAGTAAAACTGCATAAACTTCACAAAAATTCAACCGCGTTCGCATCAGTCACACGTCATAAGACAGAAAACAGAAATGGCGTCTCACGACACGACAGTACGAGACTGCGCAAAAGGTACCTATTTTATGGATAAGAAAAGAAATTAAGACCAGTGCTTCAAGCGGTTTGGGCCAATTTTTGATGACGACTGTTTCAGTTATGTAACTGAAATTACGTGCTTGCTCAAACATTTCAACCACTATGTTACATATCATTTCGGTTACAATTGTAACATAACTTTGATACCTTCTAGATCCCTGTCAGTTATATAAGTCATTATTACGTGCTTGGTATAGAACATTCCAACGTCTATGTTACATCTCATTTCGATTACAATTGTAACATAACTTTGTTACCTTCTAGAGCCCTTTCAGTTATGTAAGTGATTATTACGTGTTTGGTATAGAACATTCCAACTTCTATGTTACATCTCATTTCGATTACAATTGTAACATAACTTTGTTACCTTCTAGAGCCCTTTCAGTTATGTAAGTGATTATTACGTGTTTGGTATAGAACATTCCAACTTCTATGTTACATATCATTTCGATTACAATTGTAACATAACTTTGTTACCTTCTAGAGCCCTTTCAGTTATGTGTAAGTGATTTTTACGTGTTTGGTATAGAACATTCCAATAGAACATTCCAACTTCTATGTTACATATCATTTCGATTACAATTGTAACATAACTTTGTTACCTTCTAGAGCCCTTTCAGTTATGTAAGTGATTATTACGTGTTTGGTATAGAACATTCCAACCTCTATGTTACATATCATTTCAGTTACAATTGTTACATATCTTTGTTACCTTTTAGAGCCCTTTCAGTTACATATCATTTCAGTTACAACTGTAACATATCAATGTTACTTATTAGAGCTCTTTCAGTTATGTAACTGAGAGTTACGTGTTGACTGGGTAATACACAATTTTCTCCCAATATCCCTTCCCCTTGGAACTTGTTGGCGGCCCCTATTTTTTTGGCTTGTATTTCAATATTTTAAGTTTTCTTAATTAATGTTAACGTCGGATGTCTTATGAAATTGTACAGTCACTCCCAACATGTCCGTGTTTAAATAATGCTTCCTCCATTCCCCCTCTCCTCATTCCTATCACACATAATTACAAAATTTAACAAGTTTGCAAATGGTTGCCATTTTGCTGCGACCCCACCCAAATTATCCAAAGAGCGACAAAGACAAGAAGATCGCAAAAATTTTATTATAATTACTCTATAACAACCCATTGTCGGTTACTGTTTGTATAAAATAAATGATCTCAACTTTTATCCATAAGGTATCTGGCAAACTCTTTCATATTGCATCAATAAATGGCATATTTTTAAATCTGTATTTGGCTCAGAATAGGAAAATTGACACATGTACCGCTTCATAGCTAACGTGAACGAAAATATGTCTGGTGAGAAGAAGCGATATTGCGGAAGGCAAGCGCGGTTGCCTATTCGTTTCCTGTTCGTTTAAAATTGTACGCGAGTGGGTTTATTTCTCGTTTTAGAGGTTCTAACGGGTGAGTTTTAAATAGCGTAAGAAAATTCCCTTTGAAATCTATACGTACGATCATAAGGGGTGGCATGGCAGCATTCAGTCTGATTGGTCGTTTTTTGCGCTTTGCAACTTAATTGCCTTAACGCTTAAGGCCCTTATACGCATCTGTGCACAATCGCGTCAACAATTGGCTTTTTCATAGTTAAGTCCCCCGCCATAAAATATCGTTCTCACATTTTGCATATTTTGTAATTTTAATATTCCTGAAGGAATCGACCTATGAGAACAATTTATATGAACTGGTTCTGCATTGTATTTATTGAGAAGAATTTGAATCCAAACAATGGATTTTGGTTATTTTGCTTCACTCATTGAAATTTTGCATCTAATTCCAGTAATACCAGCCAAAATTGTCAAGAAATATTATATTTTGGAAAGTGAAATCAAAATTTAAAAAAATTATATTTCACTTCACAAAAATTGGGGAAATGTAAGTCTACACAAGACACATTGAGATAAGTGCAGGGATTTTGAATAAATCAATAGAAATTTTTAGAAAACGCGAAGGTTGTTGCGTGTCGATATTTATAATAGGGTGCATATTGCTGTTTACAGTGATTCGTAGCCCAGAAAGACCGTACACAAAACACCAAAACAAAAACCTAGTTAGCTCTTTACCTTCACTTATTAACACGGCACAAAACTTTTCCCCAGCACAGAGGAGAGATTCGACTCAGCCCTCAGTTAACCGGTTAACTTCTAACAGATAGTGGGTCGGACCAAATACCTCCAAACTGAACTGAAAAATTTTGAATAATTAGAATGGACCTTGGGTAAATTAGAAAAGATGTCATTGTGAATGAAACACACGGAAATTAAAGTAAAAATTACAAAAGTGTAACCATAGTGTAAGAATAGAGTAACACACAAAAGGAAAATGGTACAAAAACACAAATATTTGTTACAAATAGACTAAAATTATGAATTAACTTACATTACTTGTCCTGGAATTGTAATAACCAATCAAAAAAGTATCCTTGCACAGTACAAAAACAATTACATATATAAATAAATAGTCGCGAATTTGGCTTCCGGCTTCACACACAAAACTTCTTCAAACTTAAATCGCACATTGGAGAAACTTTCAATACTGGCTGTGGCTTCAAAACAAATAAGCCACGATGGAATTCGATTGAAGCGAATAAATTCTTTAACAAAACGAAAGTCGGTGCTGAACGTAGCAAAAAAATTGATTTAAATTTTCAACGAAACGTAGTTCTACGTTGACTATGGCAAAAAGCGGCGCTTTTCTTGTTAACGTCCTATTTACGGCGAAACCCTTCTTCCGAGAATCAAAATTATAACAACCAATCATACACAGTTGACAACAAAGACTATCCTCTCAACGTACGTAAATAGACCAAAAAATAGAGGTCGAATAATTTTTATAAATCAATTTGTTATCAGACATTAAGAGATAAATCCAAACATATTTTAGGAAAAAATAAAATTTCATCTCTCTTAACTACACAGAAACAACGATAAAACACATCCACCTCTCAATTCAATTAAGCATTTACAGTTGATAACAGATAAAGACCCAACAATTACCAAAAATTCTACTTTAAATAAAATAAAAATGTAAACAAAAACAACCCTGATCACTTTCTCGTATGACATAATAATTTTTGCACTCCTTCGTTATAAATCGCGTTTTCCCAATAAAACACGAACGTCGGGAACGTCAACTTTACAATTGACTATCTACTTTCGCGCACTAGTGCCTAAAAATTTAACGAAATTATTTATTTAGTGCGTATCATAAACTAATAAGTAGTGTGATGGAAGAGTAAAAAGGAAAATATAAATACAGTTTACATCATTCCCTGTAGTACAAGGGCAAAAATAAGCTTAAACCAGAAGTTTTGAACAATAAATTGACATTTCAAATTTCTAGAGTTCTACTTTATCGGCATAGAGGACTTGATTTTTTCCAAAGAATTATAATGTCGCAAAAATCTCGCGTAAAGGATTTGAATTTATATAAATTCGATGTAACTAATCCGTGCAAAAAATAGAATACATGTTACGGGCGTGAACAGTATTTGCTTGATTCGCGCGAGATGCGTCGCTCGTGCGCGTTGCGCACTCGCGCCGCCAATCTTCGCGCTCATCTGCAAAATAACTGTTCCCGCACTAATAATGTAAATAACTAATTCCATGCCATCACATAGACCAACGACAAATTAATAAAATTCAATTACAAATGTTAATTACACAAAAAAAGACCGCCCTTGTCCATCTTAATTAAGATTTCTGAAAATTTCATCCTGTCAGATGAAATAAACATAGCAATATGAAATGTAATTGCTTACTTTGTATAAAAGGGATGTTGAAATAATATAGACAATCACGATTAACGTGTTTATTGATTAAAAATACAAATAAAATCAATTGATTTTAAATCTTGATTTGGTAATTAAGAAATTGAAATAGTTACGAAAGAACGGGAAATGAATTGGAGAGAGGCGGAACAATTGGCGGTAAACCGAAATGCATGGAGATGTCGTTCCGCACTGTATACCTCAACACCGTGAGGTAGAAGAGGAAGGATTATGGATAAATATGAGTGGAAAAACTTGTTCTTGTTTCGAAGTAGGTTCAATAAACAAACGAAAGCGATAGATGATGGCGATCGGCTGTAACAAGTTCATTTCTTCTTTGCATCATTCCGTATTTTACATTCGGTACGCCCTGTATATAAATTTCTACTTCTATGCGTTGGATTAGTTCCGCCAGGTGGCGATCCAAAATTTCACATGCTTTCCTTTCCGATTTCGACTCTGATCGAACGAACAACTAAGCCGTTCTACGTGAGAAAAGAAAAACACGTGGGTAATCTTTGCCACCACTGTTAGTTAAAAACTTTGGCAATTCTACCCGTATTAATTGCGAGACAAGTAGTCTGCAGCATTTTACCGTTCATCGGGCTTTAACGTGAAACTTTTTTCTTCGAGTAAGTACGCTTATCTAAATAATTTCTTTTCTTATGGCGGCCATTGTAGATTACGGATATACTGGAAGATGTGTAATTGAGGAACGGTTGGTATTTAATCCCTCTTAAATTTACTTAGAGGTAACGAATTTTACATGTGTGTGTAGGAAGTTTTTAGCTTAAACTATTTTAGGGTCCTTGTTCGGTACCGAAATTCCTTGTTCGGGGGAAATATCTTGTTCGAGACCACCTGTTGATTGGGGGAAAATTTTGGAGATTCATTATCAACCATAGACACCTAGGAGGTCGTGACCAACAACCTTATCTGAGGGAGATAAGAGCGGCCATTTTATGAAGACGAGGGAGAAACTCATTTAACTACATACTGTTTCGACATGATCGAGAATGCCTTTTTTTTGCTTGATCGGATATATTAATTTTTGTGTGGCTGCGACACTCCATCAGAGACACAGACATTTTTAGAGGGGTATCGAGATTTGAGCTTACCGCAAGCTTCGTAGGTCCTTCAGACATTTATTCATAATATATTCCGAACCCTGTGGTTTGGGCCCCTTTTTGTTCTCTTTTGATTGCAGAGATGAATGGTGCAAACAGAGCTCTCTTTGCTGCCTCACATCTGGAATATTACATAAGGTAAGCATTGTATTCTATTTGCCTTGTTGTTACCGAACTTGCGTTGGGATATTTTCGTTACTAGTTGTGATCGGTAGTAACGTAACCATTTTGTAATTGATATGTGTGATTCATTTATTAATCTTAACGATCATTAAGGAACAGTAATTGGGGGCAATCATTTTTGAACTGGAGTATAATTGTTGGGAATTAATTGGGGGTTTTTATGATTTGTGCAGTGTGTAATTTTACATATATATCTATATTATTTTGCAATTTATTTGAAAGCAACCAGCAATATAGAGCCGTTTGATTTGTATTTGTGGTTATTGTGCATCCTGTATCTTCCCAATTTTATGCAGGGTGAGTTGATAGTGTACATTAGAAATTGGGTGGCGCTCAACCATAACGCACGGAGATTGTCTTGCCCAGAACGAACTTTACTGCTTTGAACCTTCT